GTGAGGAACAGGCTATTTTGGGCCTGTTCCGCATCCCTGTTTCCGTGCTTGAGTCTTAGGGGCAGGTCGAAACAATGAGGGCCTGAAAATGGCCCTCCGTTTCAGGCTGAAAACTCTGGGTTTGAAAAGACTCAGAAATAGGCTGAAACGAGGTAGGGCCTGCAGGCCCTCGTTTTTCAGCATCCAGACTGCAGGGCCCGTGAAGCTATGCAGTATGCCACACCTACTCATGGCTGTAAATACAAGCTTATGATCTCTCTCTCTCTCTCTCTTTCTCTCTCTCTCTCACACACACACACACACACACACACACACACACACACACACACACACACATACACACACAAAAACGCACACACACACACAGAGGAATCCGCCTGTTTGACTTACTGGTGTCGGTTTGCTGCAATATGGAGATGGAAGAGAGGGTGGATGACACACACACACACACACAAACAGAGGAATCCATCTGTTTGACTCACTGGTGTCGGTTTGCTGCAATATGGAGATGGAAGACGGGGTGGATAACCAATGACAATCCCGACATGCTTTTTTTCTGCTCCTTGTTTTTTTTTGCTCCTCCATTTCCTATGTCTAAACTCACCGCAGCCACAATGGCCCCACAATTTGTGCGGGTCCACTTGTTTTGAGTAAAATCCGTGTGACCCAGCTTGGCTAGTAGTATGGATTTCGTACATCTGGGCCTAAGTCCTCCTCCGTGCAAGCACAGATTCGAACCGGCGACTTCGGCCCTAAGAGCCAAGTCTCTTAACCACTACAGCCTGGACACGGTGTTCAAAAGTGGAATCGTACCGGTCGTGATATCCACCCCACCCCTGCAAGGCTGTTGTGTCCAACTCAACACACACCACACACAACGCCCACGGACACGACAATTCTCGTACACTTCGCTCTGTACTCAGCACGTAACCCCCGCTGGTACTCTTACCCGCTCACACAGACGGGACTTATCAATGCCCGTCGGTTCACGGGCGCTTCCACAGTAGTATGGATTCCGTACATCTGGGCCTAAGTCCTCCTCCGTGCAAGNGGACTTATCAATGCCCGTCGGTTCACGGGCGCTTCCACAGTAGTATGGATTCCGTACATCTGGGCCTAAGTCCTCCTCCGTGCAAGCACAGATTCGAAGCGGCGACTTCGGCCTCAAGAGCCAAGTCTCTTAACCACTATAGCCAGGACACGGTGTTCAAAAGTGGAATCGTACCGGTAGTGATATCCACCCCACCCCTACAAGGCTGTAGTGTCCAACTCAACACACAACACACACAAACACCCACGGACACGGCAATTCTCGTACACTTCACTCTGTAGTCAGCACGTAACCCCCGCTGGTACTCTTACCCGCTCACACAGACGGGACTTATCAATGCCCGTAGGGTCACGGGCGCTTCCACAGTAGTATGGATTCCGTACATCTGGGCCTAAGTCCTCCTCCGTGCAAGCACAGATTCGAACTGGCGACTTCAGCTTGGCTAGCCATCATGGATTGCAATAGACCTCACGTGGAGGGGCCAACTCCATTGGTGCATCCTCATGCTTGGAAAGCACGAACCTGGTCATAATATTGGCAAGGTTTGTGCTCTCCTAGCATGAAAGTATAGCACCAACAGGTCCTGTTTTAAGTAATTGCACAGGGTCCAATCTAGTAAAATGCGTCTAATGGAGCTACCCTAGCCATTCTACATCGCAATGGATCGGTGTAGGACCTCACCCTGTTAGACTTTCGAGCCTGAGTCGACCCATCTGCGGGTCCCAGCTGGCTCGGCTCCGCCCACACTCATGCTCAGGGCGCGGAGCCATTCGTCATAGGGTCACCCCCACCTAGTGCTTTGAGATGGATGGGGGTGGGCCGTTGAGCGAGAGAGCTTTGGCATTGGAGATGTGGCTCAGCTTTCTCGCTAGAGGGACCGTTTTGCTGATCACTCGCAAGCGTCCATTTCTCGATACTTTGGTGTGTTCTCATGCAATTGCTCCTTCCAATACATAGGCAGTCCAGGGGTTCTTTGAAAGACCTATTCTCTTATGCGCAGGCCAAGCGTCTTACTTGGGCCATGCATTCATTCACTAACGCAATGGCCCTGTGGCGTCATTGAGGTAGGAGCACCCAATCTTATTTATACACACCATCCTTTCCTTTCCTTTTTATCCATACTTAGGGCTGCATGCACAAGAGGTCTCATTCATAGGCAAAGGTTACGTTCACAACCGCTTAGCTTCCATGCCCACTATTTCTCTGTCGCCCGGCTTATTCGGGTGCAGTCCAGCTTACGGCACCTTAAGGCTACTCACCTGCACACTCAATCACAATGCAAAACAGATACAGCCCCGTCTGGGGTCAACACATAGCCCCTCCCACATGCCTAATCTCCATGTCCTTAGGTTCTTTCCCTTCTCGTTTTCTTCCTTCATTCTCTTCTCTTAGCCATGCAGTCGGGGTTCTGATTGAGTCAATTGACCTTTCTTTTACTTGGCAACTCTTTTCTAGCCCTTCTCGGACTTTGCCAACTGTCAAGTCTATCAAGCTCTCCTCTTTTTTATCTTCTTGGTGGCACAAGGGGACAACAGCCCTCCCCTTGCCCTCTTCTTCCACCAAGTGAGATTCAAAGTTTTTTTCCCGTTCGTATCCTGGCAATGTAACAAGTGAGTGAGGGAAGGGTTAGTTGCACGCCAAAAAGAAAATGGGAGATAGGGTAGGGGTTAACCTTGGGGTTTGGAGGAGGAGGATGAGAGAGGTTGGGGCGCGCGCGCGCGCGCGCGCGCGCGCGCGAGAGAGAGAGAGAGAGAGAGAGAGAGAGAGAGAGAGAGAGAGAGAGAGAGAGAGAGAGAGAGAGAG